TGGTTTGGCTATGCGCTCCAGGCGATCAATCGGCTATCCAAACCGGGGATCTTGGTAATAAGATGGCATTAAGGAGACTGTGGTCCACAACAGGAATAAAATCTAAATGTGATGTCTGGCTGTTTCAGAACTGCATTCCGCGTGTTTCTTGGAGATTCGAAAACAACGCCAGTTGACTAATACACCGATGAGAGACTAGAGGGGTTGGGTGGTGCGCAGCAAAAGATGCGAGTTTTTACGATTGACCATGGAGATGTGCACATCGATATGGGTGATTTCGCTCAGCTATTGAAATTTCGTTGTGTTAAGCTCAGAAGAACAAGACTTTTTTGGTGGTATTGCTTTCTGGTGCCGTTCAGCCTTAACACCATTTCGGTGTATAGTTGTCAAGGAAGCACGTGGACCGATATACTGTCAGGTTGCCCAAGCCTGGACAAGGGCAGTCAAGATGTCACGATTAGAATCGAACCACGGACCTTCCAGCTACAATTTTCGCGCCCTAATCATTGAGTCTTCTCAAACTCCATAGGATATATATATCTTTATATATACTGGCCTCCTATTGGGTCATATACACAAAGAGCTGTCATGGAATGCTCTTCAGTGACAGTTAAGACCGAGTCTCAGATATACAAGCAGAGTTCAGACGAGTTTCAAAAATGTTAATGGTAGGTCATACACGCAAGCAGACTCCGAGACACCGTCCATCCTGCCTATCGAAATCAAACGAAAAACGAACTCTCGTTTTCCAGCTTCATCAGTGGTGGACTTCAGACACGAGGAACTTATAGGGCAATCCTGAAGGAACAAACGTATAAATGACATTGCTTCACAAAGGTGGGGGTGGGCGTAAGGTCACCTCCACGATAGAGACGAATTTCCGATCAATAATTTATGCAGACACAACATCGGCCGTCTGGTATTGATCAGTATTGATTGACTAAATGTTATCAGTCTGCACAACAAGACCTAGAATGAACTGTGTAGGTCAGACAGATGACCTGTTTCATTGAGACTTCAGTGAACCCGGAGTCGTGTGACCAGCAGTACTGTTTGTAATTGTCTCCCGCTAGCTGTTATGAACTGTTTTGGAAGGTGCCACGCTAGTTTGCCCGAGACGTCCATGACTGCAGGTGAGCGTGTGATGCAGACAGGTTGGATGAATTCGGATAGTGCGACCTTCCTAGTAGGCGAGACCAGTCTGGGCCGAATCCATATGATTCGAAGCTGGCGTGCGGTCATCTTTAAATGGAATTCGCATGAATGCATTACGTTATTTCCGACAGATGAATCTTTGTGCGACTTTCTCATTAGCCAACTAGGTTTCCTAAGACAGTAACTTGCAGTTTCAAGGTCCTGAAATGGTAACTTATACTTGAAAAACAGGATACCTCGGTACACTTCTGATTGTAAAAAAGATGTTTGTCCGCCAAAATGTCACTTTACTTGCCAATAAAATACTGTATGATGTTTACGATTTTTTCATCACATGACTCGTTTCCAGTGGCTTATTCTCGGTCGCTTTCAGACCCAGTATGTAACCCGAATAATTCCAGTCCTATCGATAGTCTGGTAATTCGAATATTAAACGATCCAATCGCCAAATGGTTTGGGCAATTTTCCATCCTGGGGAAGCTTGTTCTACATTGTTCGACGAAGGGTAAACTTTTAAATGGAGCTAATTTCAGTATACCACTCAACACCAACTGAATGTCTTCTTTTTGCTATCGAAAACTTGTAGGATTTGGAATTTGACTAGTACCAGTTTCCAATCCAAACGGTTAAAAGTACATCAGTTAATGGTTAGACTCCAATCGATAACAATGTAAGTGGTAAGGAGATTTGGAACTCATCCTGCAAGAAAGCTGGATTCTTCCAACTGGTGCTCAGCGATGGTCTTCAGTAGTGCGCATCTCTGGTTACAATGGAGGTCAATCTAATTCCTTTGTGATTGGTACACTCAGTGTGTGCACCCCTTTTTTGGAAATGGGCGCTACTCGGCCCATTTGGTGAGGACGACTTCTTTCACCCAGATAGAGGCAAATAAGTCAGACTTTCGTCTTTGAACACAATTGGTGAGAGTTCATCTGGACCGGCGGCTCGCTTGTTTTTGAAAGGGAGTCATGTTGCCGGATTAGAATCCAGCTGAGGGGTTGCAAGTGGCCAGTTGAATTGGTCTCGAGGGCGTTCCACCCAACGTTTCAGGCGGTCTTTTTACCACAGACAGGCGAGCCATTGTTGCAAGTAGTTAGTTAGCTCCGTTGTGCGTATCAGATGGAACAGTTTACGCACACTTCCAGAGTCTACCATCTCCCTCATCTCATCAGTTTCCGGATTCACCGAGCTTCTCCATCCGCGCAGATGCTCTCTTTACCTTGGTGCTAGGAGTACTAGGTGTCATTCGAGATTCACTGGTTAGAGCTATTTGTTTGCATCGCCTCATAATCGGAGTGCCCTGGGATCTTGCAGAGTGGCGGATAGTACCTTCCAGTAAGAGTCAACATCAGCAAACCTGTTGTCAGAAAGGGAATTCAGTAGGTGGGTTTCGCAAGCTCGCTTCACAGCTCTCAATCGCCAAGCAGTTGTGCGCGTCCTGCGAGCCCGCGAAAACCACAACAAGGAGCAGTGACCAAAAGGGTGCGATCCACGTTTATGTTTCTGAACGAGTGACAGTAATTAATTGACCCACGCCACTCATAGCTAATGGCAGTGTGGTCTGCCTTTGCTGGAGGTTGAGTCGTATACGGGGAGCACCACATGGCTAAGCGGCTTTAGCTGTTTCGGAAGTTAGTCCTGCAAAGAAAGAGTCAGTGGTCAGCACACAACTCTAGAAGTTGTTCGCTGATTTCCATGAGACGCGTTTACCATCCTAGACGGGCACCCAAATGAGCCTCAGCAGCGCCAAGTCCGCCTACCTAAGCCTCCATATCCCCGGCGACAGCGACAACACTTGAGCCCTGAGCCCACCGCGGCAAGGCAATCAAAGCGTCGTGAAAACTGTTTTTGAGTGTACCACAGCTTCACTCTCTAGGAGCGTAAGCGGATACGATGAGCAGACAACGATTATCGATGCATCTAGGGGATACTCTCGCAGACGTTGCCAAACTAACCGCACAAAGAAGACTACAGAGAGGCGATCACTACAGACGGCAATCATTCAAAACCAGATATCTTTCGGCCTAGTGTCAAACCCAGAAGAATCACCAGAAGCGGCTTCCAGAACTAAGTGGAAGCCGATGAAGGAATCAGTTCAACTTGCATTCCTACTTCAGACAGACACGACTTTCGAAAGCGAGTCCGGCGTACATGCAAGCGCAGTCCGTTGTTCAACTTGTTTCAAAGTGCGAACGTGATAGGCCTCCAGATGAACTAAGCCTCGGTGGTCGAAGAGCGATTTCAAGTGAACCAGAGATGTTGAAGCTGACAGCAAAGGGCACCGAACGAACCTACCAGCACTTAAGAATGGGCCTACGGAGATGCCGTCATGGACGTGGTAAAGAGGGGGAGAAGGCGGAATATGTAAAAGATCGTCCGCAGTAGTCTGTTTTCGCTTACCCACCCCACCGTACGCAGCAGGTAAGGCGACCCGAAAAACGGCAACACGTACCGACCGATGTGACATGATTTGTTCGTAAGCAATTGATAGTTTTCTGCGGGCTGGCGCCCACATCTGAAAAGAAGGACGAATAATGGCCTTTGGCTTGAGCTTTTGGCTCAAAAGCTCAACCGCAAGGCTAGCAAAACGCCGTCAGAGCAGCCTACATTCTTAAGGAGCAAGTCGCTACACATAATCTGACCTCCAACCTGAGAGACTAAGAGACTGTGACAGTCAGACCAATACTCTTTGACAAACCTGGTTTGATAGGCTCTGTGAGAATCACATGTTTACTCTCAGTTATATCTCAGTGAGGCTTTGTTGGTTCACAAACCGTCACACCGCGGTAAGTTCCAATCCGTGTGGGACGGAACCCAAGTGCACACACTACAAACGAATAGGACGGAGCATTCGTCCGGGTGAATGCGAACGCGGAAGGTTCCAAGCGGAAGTGTCTCTCTACGTGTGGGACGGAACCCAAGTGCACACACTACAAACGAATAGGACGGAGCATTCGTCCGGGTGAATGCGAACGCGGAAGGTTCCAAGCGGAAGTGTCTCTCTAGATTACCTATATTTTCTGTCGTTATATTTAAGGGAAGGGTGGACCAACAAAACCGGAGAGTCAGGTGCATTCAGTCGTGTGCTGTTCAACGCCGGGTAAATGTCGGAAGCCATAGGATTAGTTCAGCTATCCTAGAGTGACTGCCCCGAAGAACGATATCGATCAGCGAAATGGAACAGGCTCTTAGTGCGTACAGCGGAAGTTGCATATGTTCAATTTGTTCAAATGCGTCGTCCAATAGCCAACATTTCTGATGTTTTCTGGCTAATGTACGTTCACCCACCGAGGAAAAGCAACCACAGTGGACCAGAATTCCATACTAACCTGTTTTCAGTTTCGACAAACATGAACAAAAACCGTGTTTAACTTGCTTGGTTTGCCGAGGTAACGCAGTGTGGAACACCGTTCAAAGGGCGGGCGAACAGCGTACCAGCTACAGTTTTTGTTCAAATACAGTCAACACCCGTAGACAGTTGGGCGCGTGTGAATTTGACACCGGTTCGCGTAGTATGCCAATGCTCTGATCGTACCAGTTTGGACTGTTTGAACTGAATGTGTCTTTCATACACGCAGGTAAAAGTCTACTATATCTTGAACAACGTGAAGGATTTTTTCGAGCGTCCATTTAAGTTGGTAGACAGAATAGATTCACTAGAACTTCGCCCATTGAACGGAATTCAGCTAATCAAAAACAGAATAAACCTGCTGTGTTCATACCTGTCTTCATCTCGTACGAAAATCAACCTACGACCCAGAAGCATTCTGCACTGGATCCATTTGGGAAGAGAGACTTCTGGATCGCCCATTCCGTGGTTACCGAAAGATCTTCTATGTAAAAATATGCACGCTCGTATGTCCAAATTAACGTTCACTTCTGAAGTAAGATTGACGGGAATTCGGAGGCTAGCGTCTCAAAAGGAGCGGTACTCGATCATCCAAGAGTGCACATCAGCATTATGAGTAGCGTCTTATCAAGAAGGTGAACATACTATCATTTGACAATGAGCGAGAGTATGCTGCAACGTTCCATCTGCCAGTAGTTGAGAATGTCCATTGTGCAAGTCCACTGTTTCCTCGCAGTCTCCCTCGATTGCTGACAAGGGTCTGAAGCTAAGGGGGGTCGAACCTACGACGATCTTCGTCTGCCAATAATTTGAACGACACTTCCAATTTCTTCGGAGTTCATAATTCGTTTGTTCTAAACAGCTATCTGTCGAAACAAGAGACGAACTGGAATGAATAAAACGTACAAAGCACTTTCATATTTGTTGACCTAACTTTATTGCTTGTCGAAGCAGTACAACTGATAAGTTCTTATTCAAAGTTATCTAGTCTTTTTCCGAAGCCGTCGTCGAAACTTAGACACACCCAAGATCTCTTTCTTCCTTTGGCAAAGTTGAAGGAACAAGCGAATGAGCTTTTGGAAGTGGAGGTTCTAACACTGAAATGTCCCACCAAATGCATCTGTTGAACAGAAAGCCGGTAGTCATGTGAACAGTCAGTCGACCTTACAAGCCACCCAATGCGTGATGGCGTAGAGGACTAACCAATCATGAGTTTCGCATTGGCCACTTTTCCTATTGGTTGCTGATCGCCTCTCCGTTGATCCTTGAGGTGGCTATGCCGCCCAATCAATAGGTGCACATGGGCTCAGAACAATCCCAACGTATTCGAGTCGAACAGTTATCTGCGACAGTTCCTCTCACACTGATTAATCACGGAAAATAACTGAAATCATTTCTTGAAGGAACAGTTGTACTTAAGAAATAAGTCTAGCTGAACACAACCCAGGCAACACTCGAGACATATTGCTCTTCAGATTATACCGATATGTCAACAGGTTTCTTCTGCCTCCTATCATCTTTCAACGCCTTATGTAATTTTCACGGAACTTCTAAGTTCTCTTGATACAACTCACCCAAAACGAACCATCTAGCTACTGATTTCACTCGAGTCGATGTCTACGCTACATTGTTCAAACATCATCTGATTAACTGGAGTTCATAGTCACAATAGTTACACCAGGTTGAAAACAGTTCTGACCAAGTGGCGTGTGGACGATACAACCTAACGTGCTCCGTCACCACCAAATGCCAAACATTTATCATCAGCGGAATATTCGAATTTCTATCACATCTATCCTTTATTAAGAACTTCGTTTCCAACAAATCCAAAAGTCCCCAGACAACATGACATTTTCCCTTCCCACAAAATGATTTCGCCTGAAAATCTCAATGAAATAGATACGGTCTCTTGATAAAAAGTGGTTCTACCACGTTCCTTTCCGGCATGCACTGAATGCTTTAACACATTCACACCTGAAGAATCATCTATCAGTCTATCAATCTATCTATCTATTATCTATCTATCTATCTATCTATCTATCTATCTATCTATCTATCTATCTATCTATCTATCTATCTATCTATCTATCTATCCTACTATCTATCTATCTATCTATCTATCTATCTATCTATCTATCTATCTATCTATCTATCTATCTATCTATCTATCTATCTATCTATCTATCTATCTATCTATCTATCTATCTATCTATCTATCTATCTATCTATCTATCTATCTATCTATCTATCTATCTATCTATCTATCTATCTATCTATCTATCTATCTATCTATCTATCTATCTATCTATCTATCTATCTATCTATCTATCTATCTATCTATCTATCTATCTATCTATCTATCTATCTATCTATCTATCTATCTATCTATCTATCTATCTATCTATCTATCTATCTATCTATCTATCTATCTATCTATCTATCTATCTATCTATCTATCTATCTATCTATCTATCTATCTATCTATCTATCTATCTATCTATCTATCTATCTATCTATCTATCTATCTATCTATCTATCTATCTATCTATCTATCTATCTATCTATCTATCTATCTATCTATCTATCTATCTATCTATCTATCTATCTATCTATCTATCTATCTATCTATCTATCTATCTATCTATCTATCTATCTATCTATCTATCTATCTATCTATCTATCTATCTATCTATCTATCTATCTATCTATCTATCTATCTATCTATCTATCTATCTATCTATCTATCTATCTATCTATCTATCTATCTATCTATCTATCTATCTATCTATCTATCTATCTATCTATCTATCTATCTATCTATCTATCTATCTATCTATCTATCTATCTATCTATCTATCTATCTATCTATCTATCTATCTATCTATCTATCTATCTATCTATCTATCTATCTATCTATCTATCTATCTATCTATCTATCTATCTATCTATCTATCTATCTATCTATCTATCTATCTATCTATCTATCTATCTATCTATCTATCTATCTATCTATCCAATCTATCTATCTATCTATCTATCTATCTATCTATCTATCTATCTAACCTATTGAAATGAATCCGCGAGTATCACAACTAAAGTTAAAATACGAGTTAAAAGTATTATTAGCCTTGGTCGGCATGTCAGACGTGTGTAGGTAGTGCTCTTAGATGCTCCACACAGGACGTCTTTAGTGTGTTGTTAATGAAAGTGAAGTCAAATTCACGTGGCTATTTCGTGTTTTTGGATTGATATGGGGCCTCCTGACTCAGGTCGACTTTGACCCATCATTATTCATCTGGGTACACATTCCTGTTAGCTTGTTGGCGGATGTCCTTTGACCTAACCTGTCCGACGAACCCAGGTGTGTAGACTCTATGTGTACTCATGCAAGTGCAACAACCACGCACTTCCCATCACAACACCCTGACCTCGATCGGAGGTGAAACGTTTGCAACCAGATTGTTCAGATCAGCGAACAAACAAATGATGGTCGTTAGAACCTGAACTACCAATATTCTCTTTATTTGCAAACCTGACTTAATCTTTCTTCCAGTCCGTTCGGTCATTCCCATAGCCTGCGGGACAAATGTGATAAAATATGCATGCGCAAGGGATAAGCCCCTCAATGCTGCGATTGGACAGAGGGGAGGAATAGTACAGTTGAGGGAACTTGAGGACAAAGGATTACAGGATTTCGGCTTGTTCTCCAAAACCTTTTACTCTTCGGAGGGTAAATACTGCTGTGTCCGACTGCGATAAGTGCCAAATCAAACTTTCCTTTAAAAAAAATCCGGGAACGATTGCGACTAGTAACAAGCTCCCAGAATATGAATGAACTACTTTGAATCCAAGCTCGTAAAACCGATAAGAACCAGTGTTCTTCAAGGCGCTTCGAAGAGAAGATGGGAACCAAATCCTTCGTCGTTTTCGTAAAACGATTGTTCAGGTTCCTGGAAGTAGTTGACAAGAATTGAAAGATACTAAATTTCAAAAAATGTCCATGGGTAAGCAACCGCAAATTCGAGCTGCTATTTGTGAACTGTTTCCGGAGTACAGTTCGAAGTTGCATGTGAACTGCACACCGAGTGTTTCTTTTGTCCACAGAAAAAAGGGGTGAAAGTTGCTCTGTATTACTACGGTGGCAGGACCGCAGCCAGGAAAAACAGACCAAGTTATTGATTGCAAACCTATCGCACTGTCCCAATGGAAATAACATGGCCTAGGGTACCAACAAGAGGATACGGGGTTTCGAGCAAATAGTTTCTTGAATTTTTTGCCTTCAGAGTACAACATGACGCGGTCCGGCATAGATAGAGAATGTTGCGAGTGGCCTAACCAGTTACCATAAAAAACAGTCCGATATTCAAGTGTGTAGGTGGATCGATAAAAAGATCTGACACCCAAGTAAAACACGGGACCCAACGATCGAACGCGTACCCACTGTCCTTATGTGAGTGAAAATGTCGCTCATATACAAACGGATCTATCTTTTGACTATTTGACTGATCAAACAAAACGGCCTATCCGGTTTCACAGCCCTCCCTTCGAAGTATGGTAGAGTCTTATAGAAGGTTGTACCAACGCGCCAAGAAGGGACTAAACCTTTCAAATGAATTCTGTGTCGCCCTATTTGAAATCCAGCAGAATAATATTGGGTAATGCGCAATACTATTGGGATGAGATTCTCATAAACACCAATCAAGTTGGTATTCAATGTGAGAGTAATGCTAATGGAGATTAGGGATTTAACCTTACCTGATGAGCGCAACTGATGGTTTCATCGACTCTATGAGTATGCTGAAAGAGGAAAACCCCGATCCGATTGTGCCTAAGAGTTAGATTGAAGTTAGCCAACTATCGTCTCCACTCTTTTCGGTCGATAAAAGGGACGTAGTCTTGGAATCTCCATCGATCTCACTTCGTCCTTGAATGCCAAATCGATCTGTGTAAGGATAACTACTCACTTTCAGGCTACCACAGTGTCTGAGTGAGACTCGGACGCAATGAACAAATATCTCGGCCGTTTGTACTGACCTCTAACGCAAAAGTTCACCCTAAAGATCAAATGACCTTTTCGCCGTAGTTTCGGTCGGAGAGTGGCATAAACAAGTGATCAATCTACGTCTCGTGGTAGCATCTTCTTTCTAACCGTCAGCTTTTCTAGGTCGGTTTACTAGGCTACCGGGATTGGGGGGGGGGGAAATCCACTGCCGGGGTTAGGTCAATGACAAACACAAGGNTCCGGGGATAGGGGGGTGGGGTAAATCCACTGCCGGTGTTAGGTCAATGACAAACACAATGGATTGGAATTATTCAACGACCGAGAGTACAAACTGACATAGCTCGCAATGAGACACACATACAGGTCAAAGCATCGCCGAGTTCTGTTTCAGAGCAAAATATCCTTGATTCTCTGTGGGAATTTGGACAAAGCACATTGAAAGTCAACCTAAATTCGAATACCGTCCCGTTGACGAACAAACGTGTTCACAATTGACGGGGGACTGGCCTTCTCACGCGCCAGTTCGTCTTCACGCTCTTGTCCGTCCTCATCGCTCACGGTCACGTTTCCGTTCAGGGCGTCCAACCTGCCCATTGCATAGTCATACGAAGGAAGCGGTACCACAGTGGTTGGGCAAGGTCCATCTTTGTACTCTTGGGTTAGTTCCGGATATGCCGTTGCAGAGGACTGATAGCCGAAGGTTGATGTGTTCCCATCGATACCCGATCCACGTGGGTGTCGTGCGAAGAGGTGGTAGTCGTTGTTGTTACTCATCTGGTGCATGATGGGCTGTAAGAAAAACAAGGTAAAGCAATTTTAGTGCATCTTCCTCTGGAAGCCACTGCCGAATCAGTGGGTAGCTTTTACCGGGTCGTGCGTGCTACAAGGTTTGAAACAGTGAGTGTGTCGACCCATGACAGCTTTAGGTTCGCTATTTCTGTGACACGCGTACAAAAGTGCGTCCGACAAACCCCACAGGGACCTTTGTGGGTTTTTGAGAGCGTCACTGATCCAAAACATCCAGGATGGCTACTGGGTTACCGTTCATGACATCGAGTTGCTAATTCAGGTCCCTTGTTCAGACGGGATAATTCAGCGTCGTCCGGACTTATTGGATGGACTATTGGTGAAACGACCCAGTAAAACCTAATTTGGGAAACACAGGTGACCTAGGCTGACTGAGTGTATTGCTGCATCAATTATTGATCTCCGTTTGGTCACAATTCGAAAGAAAACTCTGTTCTGACAACAGCTGGTTACCAAACTGCCTCACCCTTGTGAGTTCGACTGGATGAATTCAAGACGGAGAAAATGGCGCAGTTGCTTTTGGATGAGCTAACGAAAGACAACACGTCCCTTGGCACGCCACTTGCACTCACAGAGTGCAAGGTCATGCTCCTGGATATGCGGTTACACAGAGTACTTACAATCCACTGAGGGATGCTCAAATCGTGGAACGTTTCACGACCAGAGGACAGACTCCAAATTCACGTACTTAAGGTGTTCAGCCGGGGTAGTGTCAAAGTTTTTCCAAGCCATAATGTAAGGTCGGTTGGTTTGACCATCATAGTTGGTACGGCGCATCAGCCTGCCTGTCGATTTTGTGGAATTCGCTGTCCGAGCATCAGCTCGTTCGTTGTTTGGCGCACTGAAATGACAAGCACTTGCGTACTTTGACATGCGTGTGTTATAGCGGTCAAAGTTAGCAACCCTGCCCAATCTATGAACAAACGTTTTCAGCTGTAGCACCCATTCGTTGCCTAGTCACTATGCCAACGGAAGGTGGCACAATGGCGGAGATAGTTTTGGGTTTCCAAGCCTGGAAAAAAGCCAAGTATGGGTTCGAACCATGGACCTTCCATTCCTTCAGTTGGCCCCCTAATCACTGAGCTACCTCTAGCTCGGAAACAGTGCCCAGTCTTCACTGAGTTTCTCTGCTATCTGTCAGGATAGCAAAGTGATGCTTTCGTAGCGAACTCACGTGATTTTACGCACAATCTGCTCAGAGAAGGACAAAAACAACAACTTGGTGCCACAGCAACGAGGACGTGGACTGAAATAAATCAAATCAGACAATCGAAGAAAGGAAGAATAGTGGCAGCCAATATCTCAAATTGAGAAGAAATTTATTATACCTGGTTGCTGAAAGTGGCAAGAAAACGTACACGGTATCGCCCCATCAACTTGATCTTGTGTACAGGTTTCGCAACCAACACTGAACACCAAAAACTGAAGGGAAATGTGTGGCAACAACAATTTAATCCGTTAAACACCGTTTTGCCTATGGAACACGTACCCTGTGGTGCACAGTGTGGTGTCATCGGGCATTGTTATAGGTCATTTTTCGTCAGAGTGTTATCCGAGCAAAACATTTGAACAAGCACTCTACCTGCGTAATGCACTACTCACAAGGTTGCTGAAAATTCTTCGACAACCCATGACCGGTTTCTCCCTTCTTGGGGCTTCTCAGTTAGGCGCAGTCACCGAACTTCCGTCAACCGTGTGTTCTACATGAACCTAAACTACACTCATTTGGAAACAAATTTGGTATTGCGAGAGACTCACCTGGAACGCAGCTGAATTTCTCGTTTATGATGCTGCCATGAATGATGACAGAAAGGTTGAGACCTTTCTGCGAGAAATGGTGTGAGCACTTCTTGAACACAAAGCCAGTGAGTCTCAGCGATCGATAAAGCACGCATATTGCTAATGACTAATGATAGGGTTGTCATCAAAACACTACGAATCCAAAGGCTTTCATGCTTCCGAAATTGTTCACTTTCACCCGAATGGACAAAACATGCCGTCACACCCCCCACATTATTCTTTATCAGCCGGCGTGTTCTGGTTGAACTCTGAGCTCAAGTGCTCCACACTGGTGCTGTGCATGGTCGACTAATCAGCAAATGATTGAGCAGAGGTTAAAATAACCTGTCTGGATGTTGACGGTCTCCTTGACAAGGATCTGATAACCAAATTATATGCAAATGATTCGCGCAATTGCCGCTGGCAGTCAGTAAAGGAAGTGCACCATTTTGTTTGTCATGTCCACGTTTCGCAAGCAGACTACATCTTTGTATCTTTGTAATGTACTACTCATAAGGTTGCTGAAGATCCGTCGACAGCCCACGACCGGTTTCGCCCTTCCAAGGGCTCATCAGGTAGGCGCAGTCCCCGGGTTTCTGTCAAACTTATGTTCCACTTGAAACCAAATTGCACGAAATTAGCGAATATACACTCATTTGCAAACTAATTTGGTTTTTTCGAGAGACTCATCTGGAACCCAGCTGAATCTCTCGTTTATGATGTTCTATAAGTACAGAGGAGATTTTGAAGTGTGGAAGATTATTGACCCCGAGTCCTGTTCAGCCACAAGCGAACAGCTAGTCGTGATATCTCGAATATCGTAGCGACTGAAACATGAAGCGGCCTGGTACTGCACATTCAGTTGCCTGAGAACATCATAAACGAGAGATTCAGCTGGGTTCCAGATGAGTCTCTCGAAAAAACCAAATTAGTTTGCAAATGAGTGTATATTCGCAGACTACATCTTGTTTTCCACACCAACTCAGAATTGGGTCCGTACTAGGCTGCAAACGTTGGATGCGGTGAGTCGTAACGAACAGATTGGGAGTTGTACAGTTGTTGCATACTCCAGCTTCTCGATCGCCGATCAATGCTCCTTGAAAAAGCTCACCCCCCCCCAGTGGAAAGACTTGAGCGAACTATACTCATTTGCAAACAAATTTGGTTTTGCGAAGGACTGGCCTGGAACCCAGATGAATTTCTCCTTTGTGACGTTTTTCAAGCTGGGAGCCAGATGGTTCATGTGGTTAAAGCGCTAATTTACTGACCGGAAGGTCCGTGGTTCAAACCCAACCTCTGCCACTCGATTTCCCCTGTCTAGGCTTGGGCAGCCTGGCAGTATCCCAGCCCTCGTGCTTCCTTTGGGTAGCACGTCAGCTAGGCACCGAGTGTTACCGCTGAACGATTTTTTCATTTGCTCAGGCTGCTTGAAACAAATCATAAACGAGGGAGAGTCTTCCGCAAAACCAAATTGGTTTGCAAATGAGAGTAGTTCGCTAATTTCCTGCAATTTGGGTTCAAGTAGAACACACGGATGATGGAAGCTCGGGGACTGCGCCCAACTGATGAGATCTAAGAAGGGCGAAACCGATCGTAGGTTGTCGAAGAATTTTTAGCAACTTTATGAATAGTGTATTACATATACAAATAGGAAGAAATTCAGTAATATACTCTTTGTGCCATTTCTCAATTCTACACTATTAATTCTGTTTGTACTAGGTGACAGCGGTAGAAAACCATGAACCGTCTAGGTGTAGCAGTTATTGTCCAAAAAACGTGAACCCACCTGATTTATTTGTCCCCCCCGTCTCTCGCATTTACCTACCAGGTGGATCGTTACCCCAAAAGGCCAGAAAAATACCAGAGCATTCCCATTCCTCGTAGTTGATGTGCAAACAAAACGAGACCACTTACGTCTGGAGTACCGGAAACGTGTCCAGTCCTGACCAGATTCGGATAGGACTGACTGTGTGAGGCCGGATACACAGGTGGAAAAGCATAACTGCCGTACGCATGTGTTGTGTGGTACTCGGCGGGCATGATCGGGCAAACTGCATGCAGAGGATGGCCCGCTGCTGGATTTGGCATCTGAGACGGATTGAATCCACGCTGCCTTCGACGCTGAAGTCACAAGGGACATGAACGTCAATAAACAGATGATTGGACCACTCTGTTCGACTGAAATAATGAATAGTAAACTGGTTTCAATACGAGTAGTATTCACTGGATGAAGAAGGTACAATCGGGATGACCTGAGACGCTTCACTTCAACATCTAACAACTTTTATAGTTATCCAAACTATTGACCAAGTCCACAGCGATTGAGAACACCTACCGAAGAAGTCGTAAGTTTGTTCGCTAAGCTGGGCAGTTTGTTTGCATGTGTTGATACACCACAGTGGTGCTTATTCGCGTTCAAAGAACTCGTGCACAGAACTTTCAAGCCCATACCCCAGTGACTGAAGTATTTACCGACTCGACTCGGGCGTGCCGACTGACTGACGTTCACAAGCGACACTAATTTGCAATCTTGCGGGTCTAGAACATTGCAAAACTGTTAAAATGGAAAGGGAAGTTTTAATTTTCAAACACATCTCCTGGGGCTGTCTCCTCATGATTTTTTCTAAAAAGTGGCTTTTTGTGGGGGAGGGGGGATGTTATCACTAAAACGGAACTAAAAGAACGGTCACCATTCCAGTTTATGCAACTGGATTAAAAAAAAACAAAATGGGCGAATCCAGTGTGATGACTGTAGTTTGGATCCAGAAATCTCCGGCAACTCCTTGACAAACGCATTTGGGACATGGGAGTAGTACGCATTATCGTGATTTGAGGATTTCAACCAGTTTTTTTTTATACGGTGAGAAAGTGGTCATTTTGAGAAGTTCTCTGAGAAGGTGCGGCGTAATCCAACCTTTTTTAGTTTGATAGTTTCCGGATGTGGTTTGAATTGAAGCCTTCTTGGGGAAATGGCTGGCTCTATTTGATACAATTTAGTAATTTGTTTTTACCGTGACCGGCAATCTAAGTGTTTTCTCTATCTCTCTGGCACTCTTTCGTTCGGAGAACGTTGGACAGATGCGCAATTCATGGTTTGTATTCCCACACTTGTCAGAGTTTAAGAGTGTACGTATCTTAGAAGCCCCCCTTAGAGGTATTCCCACATGCACTGATGTCTGACAGGCCCACCATATCTATTTCTGCTTAATTTTGTCTTTGATGAAGTAATGAGACGAACAGTAGATCTTCGAAGTCAACCTGAAATATACAGACGACACTGTCCTCATTTTTGACGCAAGGCGGGAGGCGCAACCACCATTGGAGGTCATCCAGTCTTTCAGAATGTGCTTCGCTCCCAAAAGATACGAAGTCATGCTACTGAAAGGGCAGCCTTTCAACACAAATCTAAGAATTTTAGGAGTGACAATGGATGTTTCTGGGAAGTTATCTTAGCTCTGACGGTAGTGTGACAGATGAAGTCAACGCAAGAATCTCCAAGGTTAGAATTGCGCTTGGCGTTTTGCGCCACTTGTGGCATCAAAAATGTATGTCAGACTGAAGCATGTGCTGCGTTGTCGTGAGACCGGAAGACCTGGCCCCTTCGGGGAGATATCTTCAGGTCTTCAGGTCACTGATGCTTGAAAAATATTACTTTAATAGGCTAGAATGGGCGAACTCGCGATGAACTAATTTATTTGATGTCAACAGTTGCTAGGCCTGGCCACGATCAGCTGATCCGCATTGTCGTAAACTGACTCTTCTTCAGTCACGTGACTACGTGCTGACCGGCTGCCTGAATGACAACTTCTCAGATTTCTCTCAAGTTGTGAACAAATAGATGCATCTAAATAGGTGAATGATACTAACCGGACTCGAGCCGGAATGCCGTAGACCTCAAATGACGCTTTTTCTCAGATCGACGGCTTGAGCTATCAATTCGCACATAATATATATTGACACGAATTGGTATGGCCTTGACTTCATAAGCGAGGGGGAAATTCTCCAAGAACCATGCAATAACCATTCTTGTGAAATCGCTGGCAGTTTAAAGTGACGATGCATTCATAAACAAAATTGCCTCTTTCTTGTTGCATACAGGAAGCTCGTGGAAGTAAACTTCACAAAAGATTAGTAATTACTGTCGTACTATTTGTTACAGGTGGTTGTGGGATATGTGGATTTCACGCTCACATCATTCTTGTTTGTGCAGTCATCCTCCTGTTCTGGTGAGTCCACACTGGAGCACTGGACTCGAGTTTTAGTCCAAGATGAGTGTGTTACCCCTACTCCACTAGGGCACGTTGGGTACATCTGGATTTTCATGTCTGAACAGTCGAATGGATTCATGCCTGACTGCTCGAACGGTTCTGGTGGTGCTCATCGACTGGCCCGAGTGTTAGGACTTCCCAGTCAGTGGAAGCTGGAAACCTGAATAGTTAGTTGTAGGATCACATCAGCCTCGTTTGAACAGTCGCCTTGTCAGCCTGGAGAAGTAGTGGTAACACGCTTACCTCGCATGTCAGATGTGCGGAGTTCAAACCTCGGCACGGCCATTGGATATGCACCGTGCTGTTACGATTACACTAGTTTCCGCTTTTGGAAGAAGTAGCAAAAAGTGCGGTTTCTATGGCACATGATTTACGATCCCCATAAAGATCACATGCGCGAAAAACACTCATTTGCGCACTAACTTGGTTTTACCGGGAGGTCCAACCGAATTCTAGCTGAAACTAAGCGTTTGTGTTTTTTCCAAACAAATGTACCGCACGAAGCTCACCTCAGGTTTCAGTTGGTTTCAGATGAGCGGACACATTGCCCACAAGTTTGCAGAAAATCTTTCGACCACTTGGGTCCAGTGATCAAATGAAATAAAAGGTTCACGGTAACCCGGTGGCTGCACCTATCTGCTGGGACTGGAGGAACTAGTCATGAACTGTCGAAGGGTTTTTAGCAACCTCATGAGTAATGTGTCCAGCCAAGGAACACAAGGTTGACGGAAACTCGGGGACTAACTACACCTGATGAGCCCCAAGAAGGGCGAGAGCGGTCATGGGCTGTCGGAGTTTTCAGCAACCTTGTGAGTAGTTTCCTCCATGAAAATATACCACGATAACTCGAATATCGTGCCAACTGAATCATGAGGCGGCCTGTGTGCAGCACATTCAGTTGTAGAATATCATAAACGAGAGATTCAGTTGAGTCTCTTGTGAAAACCAAATCGATTTGCAAATGAGTGTATGTCTCGATAACAGTCCAATTTGGGTTCAAGTAGAAAATAAGGTTGACGGAAACTCGGGGACTGTGCCCACCTGATAAGCCCTAAGAAGGGCGAAACCGGGAGTGGACTGTCGAAGAGCTTACAGAAAGCTTGTGAGTAGTTTCCTCAACGAAAGCAAAAGGTACTGATTCAGAGGTAATACATGTACGTCTGTGCGCAGCAAGTCTCTCCACTACTCGTCTGACCTTCAGAAAAGCGCAGTTTTCACGTCGAAAAGGTGTCCTTTGATGAAAATCTTTTCAAATATCCGGCATCGTTGTTCAAAACGAATAGGTTAATGAAATCTGCACACACTCGGTAATTTCTCCTAGACGAATGAGGTCACTGCGAGTTTCGATGTGCACAGCTGTCCCTATGATGGACGGTTTGGAAGTGTCCCAGGGACCGTCACTGACAGTTGCGGCACTCTAAGAACGTCTGGAACAGATAATGGCCTCGAGATATCTTTTCAACTTAGTTATTTATCTTCGATAACAAAGTTTCGCCATGGAATTTCAAATATCGCCAGTTATGAACTGGTTCGAATGGAGAGTTTAAGCTGCATATGACTGTTGCCGGATTCTTTCTTGGTGTCATATAGCTAACCCCTTTGTGGGGGTCAATCTTGAGGAGATCAAAGCTTCTCACGAGAATCTCTGGATAAGTTTTAACATGAAAATAGCGTTTACTTTTGGTAAACCGGTCTTCCTGGAAATTTAAGACTGCCATTTTGCTGAAAACGGACAGACATAGATGGTGTCCTAAACTGCTCCATTCTAAATTGACATACGCTAGTGTTGTTCCATCAACATTCAGTCGATTCAGAACGCAGTGTACGAAAGAAGTTAACAAAAGAGAGGCCCAGACTGAGATCAGAAACACACATAAAAACGTAGATTAGGGGCTAATTAAAGAGGGCATTAGCCTCGGTACTGGGACCCAGTAATGAATGGATTGATACAGGCGTTATCGTATTTAAAGCAAGGAGAGCACAACACTGGGGCACAGGAAAGATCGACTTTAGATTGGAAAACTAGGGATACTGCATATAAGATCAAATGCAACAGCTTCACTGCGGTTTACAGAGGAGAAACTGCACGTCAAGATCGGTGAGCCGGAGAGGTAAAATAACCGAACCATGAAGATATGTGGACGAATATCAGGTGCCTGATAAGGACTCGACGATGGCGAGTTCAGATCTAAATTTGGAAGCCCAACTCTCAACTCTCACGTGAACTCCTACTAACCCTGTAGATGTGACCATAACCAGTTCACATAAACCATGAAAAAAATTGTAAAAGACATTTGGATGGAACGCTCAACACGAGAGTGATATGGTGCAGAATGGCCAGACCTCAAAACCCGGAAAGAGTTCATGTAATCCTTTCCTCCAAGTCCATCACTGTTCCCCATGAATATATGCATTAAACACCACTATTTAGAGCTGTTTAAGCGTGCCATCAATAGCAGATGTTGCTGCCTACCCAATAAGGCCCAAGAAGGGTGAAACCAGTCATGGACTGTTGAAGAGTTTTCAGCAATCTTGTGAGCAGTGTATCAGGTCTATGTAATGTATTGTGATATCTCGAATATCGTACCAACTGAAACTTGAGGTGGCCTGACGAAGCACATTCAGCTGCATAAGACCATAAACGAGAGATCCAGCTGGGTTCCAGGTCAGGTTTGGTTTTAGACCAAAGGACAGAGGCAACTGATCATACATGCCGCAAGCCTGGTGCACCTCCAGACAGTGTGGATCGATAATCGAGCATAATCTACGTCAAAACTTACACCAATGAAATGATGAAGGTGCTCAGCTTGTCGGCTAAATTACGTGGTTGAAATGGGACTTGCAGAGCTCGTGTGCTCCTTGAGCCACAAAGCACTGACGGATAATTCAACATCACCTTTGCTATAATTCCGAGTAAGACTTTGCCCCTACCGCACATGTACCGCCAATTTACACAAAAAACGGTTTTCCCCGTGGGGTATGAGGTATTGTGCTACGGCATTTTTGCTCCGTTCTGACACGCCGTTGCCATCTTGCTACCTTCTATCATTATTAGCTTCTACATGTCTTCCTTCACCGATATCATCCGTCAAAAATGCCTGTTTATTTGAAATGGTTTCGAATTGAAGAACTCACTCATCTCACCAGTCTCCCAGACGTCTTAGGGCTTTAGACCATGGTGCAGTTTGACAGCATCACCTAGGTAACTCATTCACATTTTTTGCTCGTAGTCACACCACTCTCGCTCGGACCGTCGTCTTCCTATCTTGGCGTAATTATTCCGGTAGGTCCACACCAAAGGGAAACACTGGACTCGGGTTCCGCTCCTATTAGAGCTCATCAGCTAAGCATATCCAATGGCCGTGCCAGGATTTGAACCCCGGACATCTGACACGTGAGGCGAGCGTGTAACCACTACTCCACCAACGCACGCTGAACGCATCCGAATTCTCACACCTGAACGGGAGAACGTGCTCACGTTTTAGCGATGTGATTGGTGTGCCCGACCCATCGAACGACGACCCAGTAACTGTCCTAGTTGTGACGATCGATTGACCCGCCAGTCAGGACTTCCCAGTCAGGTAGCGCCGGAGCGGACACCCCGACAAGGCTAAGGATATGAAGTGCTGGGTAGCCCTATTAAGAGAGGAACTCGAGTCCTATGCTTCCCCCCTTTGGTGTGGACTTACCAGAATAATTACGGCCGTTCAAACGAGAGTGGTGTGACTACGAACAAAAATACCAATCCTGCAAAACCCTAAACATTGCAATATTCACATTTGTTTGCGCATGGATACAAACGAACTCCGGAATTTGACAAGGAAACGGCATTTTACAATCCGAGACTAGCTTCACGTTTTGGTTGCAACCGCTATTTTTCGTTTGAGGACATCAGCTCAGACGAAAGCAACAAAGGTCAGGTGTGCTGTGCGTTTTCACCGCAAGCCGTCTGCTTCACTGTCGTTTTGACCCCGTTAACGGACATCATCATTCGATAGGCGTCAGGGCTGCTGGTCATCACAACAATGTGCAGGTATTTGGTCACGTGAGCATGTCACGCTTGGCTTGGCGATCACCGATAGAATAAAAGCACCGTAGACAGCTTACACGATAAAATTAGTTAAAAAAGCTAGACACCAGCCTCTTCCGGTTTCAGTAACGCTCACACCGCGTGCCGATGGACATAACTAGCCTATGAGTAATGGAACGTTTGCAATCGAATTGCCCAGCTCAGCGAACAAGCCAATGACCACCATCTACGCTACCTGAGCTACCGACATTTTCCTCTATAGAGAGAATGAGTTGTCATATCAGGTTTTTCTGATGAAATTTTCCGGTGGGAACGCCAGATGGTCTTACGAAGAAGGAACTCTCCCGTGATAGATGAATTAATCACACTTCATAAGTTACGCTGCTTAGGACATGTGCTCCGCATGCCAGAAGACCGCCTGTCTCGCTGAGCTCTTTTTACCCAGCCCTGTGCTGAGTGGAAGCGACCGAGAGGTGGACTGTGCATGACCTGACAACGAAGCACAAAAACCCTAACTAGTAAACTTAGTCGAGTGGCCAACTGCCGCCTCCCTGGATGGGAACCCTGGGGCTCAAATCACCAGTGGTTGATGACATTGGCAGAAATGGCCCAATCGCCCAGTCAGTGGAGCTCGCGCATCAAAGCTATCACCTTCGATGATCTGGGCATGCCTTCTCCTTCAAGGCCTGGTTTTGTATTCCACTTTCCCGTTTACTGGTTATCAAAACTGTAGCAGCTGAAACCACGGTTTATAGCTAATAAACTGAACTGAATTGAGTGGAATGTATGGATTTAATACACTACTCATAAGGCTGCTAAAAATTCTTCACATGGTTCGACACCTCTCAACTCGGGCGCCACTCTCCAGAGGCTGAGGGATTATCCGACTCAAGAGGCTCAGGATTCTGGCTGATACAAAGAGCTCTAACCGAATCGATCCATCTTCTAGGTACTGGTTCATGAGGCGAGACACACAAGTTATCCCCAAGTAAAACGATTCCGACAAAGAGCTTACAGGTATTACAACACCTTACAGATCACACGGGTAAAATCACCACCAAACGCATCAAGACAAGGCCTGACTGCTCGATTTTGATGGGTGGCACAACAGTTTTTCCTAATTTGAGTTTGTTTTGAACAACTTATGTGACGGTCAGAGCCTACATTGGAAGTTCTTTCCCATGTTCGTGTATTTGACACTAGAGGAACACAGCCTACATTGGAGTTTTGTGTCAAACTGTAATGGTCTTTGAACACTCCTTGTGTGGTACTCGTCATTCATCAAAAAATCGTTTACGACAGGGCATTTTTTCGTTCAACAAGAGGCGTAAAATATCACATATACAGCGACTGAGCTAGCGGAATAAAATTTAGCTCTGAAACGACAAATTCCAAAGTAGTATTTTGCTGTCAATACCATAGAAAAGCGGCCCGCTATCGGTGTTCTCTCACTGAAGCTGCCGTGAGAGAAGAGATGTCACCAAAGAATTATTGTGAATTCTTTTTGTGTTCTGTTTCCGTTATATTTGTACTAAAATCTTTTGCTAAGCGTTCGTCCGAACACGTGAGTGGATACAAACAACAGGAGTGTGGCAGACATCGATGCCTCAACTTAACCCCAGACCTGAACAGTTTGGTAAAAAGTCAGCTAAGTGAATTGTTCTTTTGAGAAGAGGGTTTCGTCATCGATAGTATACAATTCTGGAACCGGTTTCATGTCATTCTGCCGAGTTGTGTTCAGCCAACCTAGACTAATTTATGGGTCTTTTGGTGCTGTTCTATGTACCCTATCCACTTCGCGATGTACTATCTTGAGCACTCCCAATGGTCACCAGCCTACAACGAGTATTGCCACTTGGTTTAGTAGATCCTAACCAACCTGGCTTTTTTCACAAAGGGAGAAATGAACGTTGCCCAGACCTTCTGTAGTTATGATTATGCTTAGCTTCTTGCTTAAACGCGATACTACTCACAAGGTTGCTGAAAACCCACCAACAGCCCACAATCGGTTTAGCTCAATTTTTATAGGAGTGGGGGCGAGCTGTCACCTGAACTAACAACCATTTGCAAATTCTTCACAAACACCTAACTTTCTTCGTGTTATTCATATTGATTTGATCGGGAGATAAGCGCAGACAGACGGATCGATCACAAATTTAAATCGACCAATCATAGGATCAATACATATTCGACCTACCGTTTTGCAGCAAGCACACGCAATCCAGTTGATGACGAGCAATAGGATGATGAGCAACAGAATGACAATGATCAGGATCGGTACCCAAGTATATGGCCCAAAAAATCCCAACGCTGGCACTGCAGTCACGGTTTCGGTGCATGACTTGGTTCCTGGTTCGGGGCAAGGTGTAACAGGTGACGCGGATGATTTAATGTCCGAAGGAATAAGAACGATGGGTTTTGGGGGGAGAGAGGAAGTTGTTGAAGGTGGATGAGTGGAAATACCGGTTGTTTTCATAACAGTGGTTGCGTTGGAAACCTCTGTGACAGTGGATACGTCAATCGGAGATACCGATTCTAATTTGGTTCCCATAGTTGGAAGGGTAGATCGCAGCAAAGCTGTTGTAGGCGTGGTGACAATGGCTTTCACTTCAGGTATCCTTACGGAGCTTCCGACGGAACTCTTTTTTTCATCTGTTGTCAAGGAACCGGATGGTATGTTTGAGGTAGGGAAGACAGTGTCAGAACTTTCTGTGGACACTCTGGTTGAGAGTGAACTGGCCGCAAAAGTGCTGGTCAAATTTCCGACCCCGATGGACTCCATCGTCGGTGAAGGCTGCATTGTATGCGTTTGTTCGGTCATGAACGTAGTTGCCTCGCTTTTGTGTGACGTATTTGTCGTGATCTTATCAGTTGGCCAAGTTGAAACCTCGACCAATCCGACGGTGGACCGTGCGGGTGTGATTCGTTCTGTGGACTGATACTGTTCGGTATGCGTTGTGCTTACCAGTGCTATCGGCTTGTGTGTTGTGGCGACTGATGGAGTTCCATCAGCAATTTCCGTTACTTCACTGTGTGTAGTTTTCGGCAGAGTGGCCGTTGGGGTAATCAGCTCAGGCACGCTTGAAAAGATCTCGGAGGAGGTTGTGGATGGCGTGTATTGACTGTGTGAAACCAGTTCTGTAGTGGTACCCACGGATCCCCGTTCGGTAATGACACCGTCTGTCATGACTGGCCGTAACTTCAAAGTGCCTTCACTGTCGGTCGGCAGTTGTAATTCAGTTGTATTGGCTGCGAATGCGTCAGTTCTGTTAAACACGGTTGGCGAAACCTCGGTCATGATAACTGCGGCTGTTGTAGATTCGTTCCGTGTAGTTTCTGTCGTGTTTGTTACGAACGCAGTGAACAAGCTCGTGTCTGACCTGAATTCAGTTGTTTCTGGCTCGGTACGACCAAACATGGTGGTATTAGGTGTAGCTGAAGTTAGAGTAGTGCTTGGAGTTTCGGTCGGCTGAGTTGACAGTGACGCAGTTCCATTCACGCGTGCAGTTGAACTGATGTTTGTTGACTCAGTTCTGAAGCCTCCGACCGACATGTAGTATGTACTCGGTGTGAACTTTGTCGTTTCATTGCTTGAGAAGTTGGTAGTCATTTCAAACTCTGTTTGTTTTGCTTCCAAGGCAGCAGTTGTAAGGATCACAGCTGGTGTCGACCCACTAGAGGTTATTTCCGATGGTCCCGATGTGATCTTCATAGTTTCGCTTGAAAAACTTGAGGTTGACACAGCCTCGGATGTATTCGTTACCGGGACACCAGACTCACTCGAGAGGGTCATCGTTGGTGTAAATGTCCCCACTGATGTGCGTTCAGTTGAGGGACTTGTCGCTGATCCATTCTTTGTTGTTTCGGTCACTATGAAACCTGTCTTGGTTGATACAACAGGTGTACTCTCCGTCATTTCCGTTGAAATCAACGTTGGGTCACCATGAAAGCTTGTCACGGGCAAATTTGGTGTCGTGTTCGCTTCCGTAGTACCAAACTCACTTGCTAGACCCATCGCATGTGTATACTCACTCGATTTAGGATGCGTTGCCCCCGTGCTTTCGCTTGAAAAGCCGATAGTTGATCCACTTGGTGTAGCCTCTATGGGACCGGTCGCTGAACCCAAAGATGTCAGAGACTCACTGGATGACGTGACTGCCGGAGTGGACTCAGGCGTAGTTTCACTGGAAAAGCCAACACCAGGTCCTCCTCGCCTTCCAGAGCCTCCTTGATCACTGGAAGCACTCGAGTTGACCTCCGTATACAAGATTCCTGTGGTAAAATGTACTGTCGTTTTTGAATCGGTGACGCTTTCTGTTGAGAATCCACCTCCTGTCAGGACAGGGGTCGCGAAAGATTCCGTTGACGCTGCTGTGGATGATATTGTAGTTACGTTGGTTGTCACAACTCCTTTGTATGGTTGTGTGGTCCCAACGGCAGTTGTGCCTTCCGCGGGACGATGTACCGTTGATGTACCTGTGAGCCTTAATCCCATAGGTGTCGTTGAAGAACTTGCAGTTGTTGGGCTCTCTGGCAGACGTAATGTCGAAGTAGGTCGACCGAATTCAGTCTGACTGGTAGATCTACTAGTCCCTGAAACTTCGGTAGAAAGCGGTTGCAAATACTCTGAGGTTGTCCCAAGTGGCTCTGGAATGATCGTTTGCCTACCGATAAAGCAGGTGCAGTTGTACAAAAACGAAGGTTGTTCAGAAGATAAGCCATCCTTGTCGAGACTCGTCAAAATGAGTTGTAAGCAATCCTTTGATTTTCCCTCCTCAGGGCAAGATATCTTTGTGACATTGATCACCTTAAGGAGACCATCGGATGAAGAGTTCGAAAGAGGCACAAAGCGTTGTGGAACAATGACCGAAGGGGTGGTGGTGGTGGCTTTTGGTTGTGATTTTGAGACGCTCGTGTTCACGGTGGCTGCGAGTGGGGTTGGAGCTCTCTGTGGTTGTGGTCGAGATGTCTCCGCTCGTCCGGTGGCTTGTGGCGGCACAACAGCTTTTGCCCCCGGCTTGACTGCCGAACGTGATGCTATAGTTGTTGGCCTGACCGTTGCTTGGACGGTACGCCGCTTTGTCTCGGTGGAGGGTGGCTGGACAACCAGTAGGACAGGACCGTAATCATCTGGGAATTCATATGCTGTTAGCCCGTCAAAACTGGACTTTTTCCAATTGAAGTTGACGTGAACATTATTGCTGTTGATTCGCAACCCTCCGGGACCCTGCAAGTTGACGCCATGATAGTCCTGTGTATCGTACACTGGAACTAGTTCGTACTGTACCGGTAATGGATAATACCACATTGGGGGCATGCTCGTTGTGACAAGGTCTGCGGAAGATGGAACATAACACGTGAGCTGTTAGCGGTTCCGCTGTACAAGAAAAATCTATTTATCTATTTGTTTAGTTAGTTACTTACGTGAAGCCAATATATGCTGAAAAGTCTAAAAGTACAGGATGTCTCATAATAAACGCAAAATTTAACTGAGCAATTAAACGTAGCCAATTAATAAGAATAACAAAACTTTTTATTGTAGTAGCTGTATAAAGAAGGTTTTGTGTAAAAGTGCTGGCATTTTTTATTTACGATGGATGTTAGTACGCGCATTGAAATTGTGAAACTCCGTCATTCCCTTGGTGAAAGCGCCACCGCTGCACTTCGTCGTTATAAAACCAAACATGGTCTCATCAAAGATCCTTTCACCCTGTCGACCATTACACGCTTGAGTGCGAAATTTGAGTCCACTGGATCTGCATTGGATTTTCCTGGCAAAGGGAGAAAGTCTCTGTGTGATGAAAGAGCGCCCATTGTACAGAATGCCGTCGAGCAACTTCAGTCCCAGAGCACCATGGCATCTTCGTCAATAACTCAGGTGTCTCAGTTGACCGGCATTCCCCGCGCCAGCGTGCATCGTATTATGAGACGCCACCTTCATCTCTACCCGTATCATTTCACTTTATTACACCACATCACGGAAGAAGACAAGGAGCAACGTGTCACGTTCGCTAACTGGCTGCTGGACAATGAAGAAATCGTTCCCAATATTTTATGGTGCGATGAAGCAAATTTTTCTGTGGATGGCATAATCAACAAGCACAATTGCGTGATATGGTTCCATGAAGCTCCTCACGATTACCTCACCAATACTATAGGCAAAGTACAGTTAAAAAACCCATCTTTCCCTCTTCTTACTAGAGTAAACAGTAGCTGTTTAATGTCGTTTCGACTATCACCCAAAGTCTTATCGACTGTGGCAACACGGTTGGCATTTTTACAAATGATACACCAAGTGTGAGACCCCAGTTCTTGGACTCCATCACACAATGCAGACCTAGCCTTCGCTCACCAGAACCAGACTCTGCCCCTATGGCGATGCACGGCACCCTCTTGTGGGAATTTGAAATTTTGAATTTGTGGCAGTTCATCAATTCGAGGACAATTATTGTGACTGGCAGCAACGTTTAGGATGTTACTAACCCATGCAGACTGCTATCTGGATATTTCTGATGATTTTGAGGAAGTAAAGCCGAATTTGGAGGCTGATTGTGACAGAACTATCAACACAAACACAAACACACACACGCACACACACATACACACACTCATTTAAACTTTGACTGTCTCAGGATCTGTAATCACAGCGATTCGAATACTCGCTTCCCATACTCAAGATTGATCATTCCACCTAAAAAAATAAGTTCCCCAATTAACCGTTACTTTGGTGCTAACTGAATATCTCATTTGAGAGATTCTTCAACAGAAAACTGCCTAGTGTTCCACTTGGTGAGATATTCGAGATATCGCGTGTAACGTTGCCGAAGAATCTTCGACAGCCCAGGACCGATTTCTCAGTTCTTGGAACTCACCAGGTAGGCCTAGTCTCCGAGTTTTTTTTAATCAACCTTTGGTTCTACTTGAATCCAAATTATACGCAGTTTGCAAAATATACCTCAGTTAGTTTTTAACAGGAAACTCGATTACGGTGCTGTTTAGCTGGAACTCATGCCAACCTGATAGGTTCCAAGAAGGGCGAAGCCGGTAATGGGCTATGGAAGAGTTTTCGACAACCTTCTGTGTAGTGTATTACGTCAGGTAAATGGTCCCTTCATATTTATCCAAAGTCCTTTAAACATATAACTCGAAGCAGATGGATGGTCCTGCGTACAGTTGTGATGTGTCTCACGTGTGTTCGTGAGACACATATTCTTAGACTGAGAGTTTGCGGGACTACCTTAACGAGTAGCGAGTAGAGTACGCATCTGATCCACGGTGCTACAGTGCTAGGTAGGATGTCGCCGATGAAAAGACATTCAACCAATCCGAATGAACTCAAGTACGCTCGCTTAGTGTCTTCGCTTTCCCAACACTGATGTTGACGCATTTTCACTGCTAGTGCAGATTACCGAATCACCGAATCGGTACTTAAGTGATCCGTTTTTGAACTTTACGATGTGGGTTTTGTTGTTTGATCCAGAAAGCACACCCGATCGCATTGTGATCGGCGTCTGCCTGACCGATTCTTGAGTAGTATTCTGCTGGAAGTCGGCCAGCCATGTCTTGCCTTTTGCTTACTGACTTTCCTAGTCTCATGTGAATGTCCTGTGTTTGCCACTCTCGAAGCCTCACCTCAGCTGTCAAGTTTACATGATGAGAACCAGACCAAACAGCGGACCAGACATAACAGCAACGCGGTTCGAAATTCGAATGGTGAAAAGATACAAACTGGAGTAGGGACACAGATCAGGGTGGATAGATGTGGCCGCCGAAACAGAACTAGTTAGTGTCAACCAATCAGTAGCCTACCTATAGTCACAGCTGTCGGTTCTCTTCGATCAAATATGCACCGAGGCTTCCAGCTCTATGCCAGGTTCCCTTGAACAACTTTTCACTTATGTATTTTGCATGGTTTACACTTGAACAGGGAAGTATTTCTGAGGACAGGCGCAAGAAACATGCAGTGCAGTGAAGCGGAAATTGCAGTGTGTATTTCAAACCAGCTACTCGCAAGTAGTCACGTATCAAGGTGATTCCCCGGCTTTTTGCATCAAAACTCAAGACGTTGAGATCGTCAACAAACCCCCCAAGAGTGCATAGGAAGCTAGTTACCAAGCCTCAGTCCCGCAGGATATACAACTGTGCTTTATTTCCTAGCATCACCTCGTCAGCTGGTATCGGAGCATTTGGTCTGCACTTCGGGAGTTCGGAAAAATTGAAGTGGGCTAGCTCATAGATGTCGCTATCCTTTGCAGCCGATTTGCGCACATATTGATCGCACACATTGCCCCAGCTTATTCGAACTTTGCGCACGTACACACGCACACACACGCGCCCGCGCTCTCACCTACGCCCAATCTTGAACACAATCAATCATGTTCCACCCACGCACCCACTCACATACATGCTCAGGCCTTTTGCCCAGCCTGCGCCACTAATGAGGTGACGTGAACAGCACAACCTTATCGTTACTCCGGTGCTCCGTCAGCGTGATAGATGTATTGATATCATCTGACAGCCTGTGCAGTCCTGGAGGAAAATATCGAAATTGTGGTGAGTGGACGCGATTCGGAACCATGAGTTTTGAGCCAAGATAGTCATATAATTGATCTCAACCTTGACTACTTACAGATATTATAAGTAGGTGAAATATACGCTCAAATTTCTCTGCTGTTGGTCTGTTCGCTAAGCTTGGCAGTTGGATTGCAGATGTTTCATCTCTAATCAAGATTACCATCGTCAATACGTGTTTGAGTTGGTACACTGCCATGCTTAACGTTCATCCTGATTTGCTTTCAAGGTTTTCACCTGCGTTTTCACGATGAACATAGTAAGAAAAAACTGGGGTAATAGTAAATTATGGCGGAATAGGTTCGCTCCTCAGTTAATAGTCGCAAATGCTACAAGTTAATCGTCTCAATTTGTATTGGTAACATGATAGTCCTTCAATTCTTTTGAGCGATCACTAAGGTTAAGATCACATTCAGCCAGCTGACTTGATGGCAATGCCCATCGAGCACTGCTCAATCAATCAATCAACCAACCAACCAACCAATCAGTCAGTCAGTCAGTCAGTCAGTCAGTCAGTCAGTCAGTCAGTCACAATCAATCAATCAATCAATCAATCAATCAATCAATCAATCAATCAATCAATCAATTTGTCTGCTACAAACCGTGTACAGGAGGCACATTGGTCCCAGCCGTTATAGCTTCGATCACAGGAAATTGAGAGAGCGCGGAGCATGCAGCGAAGCTTTGGAGACTATGGGATATTCAGTCAGTTTCGTAACTGAGTAGCCACGTACTGTAGACGGTAACCTTGGTGCACGAGCACCATGGACAGCGTGATTGGGCCATTTCTGCCTGTGTCATTAGCCATTGACGAGTTGAGACCCGGGGTTCCCAACCAGGGAGGCAGCGGTTGGCGACCCGACTGAGATTACTGGTTAGTGTTTTCGTACTTCATTGTCAGGTCATGCACTGTCCACCTCTCGATCACTTCCACTTGGCACAGGACTGGGCGAAAAGAACTCTGTGAGGCAGACGACCTTCTGGCATGCGCAGCACATGTCCTAACAAACGCCAACTTTGAAGCGCAAGTAATTCATCTGACGCGGGGAGTTTCTGCTTCTCAGGACCATCTGGCGCACCCCAACAATACTGATCTGATGTTCCCACCAGACTCGACCGATGCAGATGGTCAAACACTAACATTGCTCGTATGCCCTGTGCGTGTAGAGACCAGGTCTTTGATCCATAAAGCAGTATGGATCGCACCACCATGGTGTAAACTCTGCCCCTGACAGACAACCTGATGCCACAGACGTCGGAGTTTGGCAAAGGCTGCCCGGTTACAAAAAAAACACCTGTTATAGCTGAAAAACGCTTGATAACTGTTGGATGCTGTTATCTTGGTTAGGCCATTAAGTCCAAATTTTGGTTTGCCTCTTTCTGTGTGCTATCGACTACACCTTTCCATGTAAACACCGTATTGATTATTTATTACTTTTAGTTTTTAAGTAATATCAAAATTAGTTTTTGTTACAATTAGCCGCGCAGCGGTCTACACACGGACTCACAGATTGGCTGTCCGTAAATCATCGTTTGACCGGCGAAAATGTGGCGTAGGTGACCAAAAGACCAGGTCACTCTTGTACCATACCCATCCAGCTGCAAAGATGGGAGTACTGTAACCTAGCAATCCGACTCACCCGGTTCGTGAACCTCACTTCTTACAGTTGACCCGTAGTTAGGCCACTGACTTCATCGACGGAACTAGCTGGAGTGTCCGATGAAGACTAGTGGATCGTATTCTACGAGCAAGCCAACCACAAACAGTCACGCGCCAATCCAGCTGGTCAGGTCACTTGTGTGACCACCCAAAGGCATTATCGGTCAGGTTAAGTTGCCCAAGCTCGAGACCCCTATCGTTCATTAAAAAGGTCAGCGTGAGAAAGTCAGGGAGGATGTTGTGCCCACAAACAGTATCGATCAGAAACTCACTCCCGCCTTCGAGCTAATTTCACTCTTTCTTAACCAGCTGTAAAACAGTGCATCATCGTCTTGGGAAATATTGGTAAACGATCACTGGGTCTATCGTTGACCAGCGCTTCATCAGACCTGGTGGTTAAATTTCAAGGCATACGGATGACAAATAAGCACGATCTCTTTTGAAAAGCGTGCCATATAGGCACTAGATGTCGGTTAGGAGGTCCTGTCTGTTCGCACGGGTAACTAAATCTTTCAACGGATGTGGTGGGGTTGTTGAAGTCTAATAGCAGTTTGATCGGCTTCGGACCTGTCGTTGGCCCATTTGGGTTAGGCTGGAAAGAGGTCGCCTGACTTTTTGTCAGATATCATACAACTTATATTGACGTCTCTTCTTCCCTGGCGGTCACAAATTATCAGGTTTCAAATTGGTTTATCACTCCTCGAGGTTGTCAGTTCCTTGAGGTTGCAATCTATTCACACGAAGACGTTTGACACCACCTCGGCTGCCATCCGCTGTGACGAAAATTGGTGTCCCCATTATTGTAGGTCACAGTAATTCGCACGCCCACGCAATTACGGACACGGGTGTACTGTGTAAACGCGACCAACTTGATCTGTCCTCATGAGGGGTCAACAAACAGCTGAGTACATATCCAGTCAACTCACAACCCAGTCACGCGAGCCAATCAATCGGACACGCACGCACCCAATCAGCCACTGAAGTCACACGCCAGATCGATGGTGGAACGACGAACGGACACGCACACGCGCAGGCTCTATGACACACCGAAGCGGCTACTACACCCATCTAATTCTGTTATGGGTTCCACTGCTGAGCCTTCAAACTCATCTGCGTTCCCCAGTGGTCTGTTTATACCCCTGCTGTGCTGCCTCATTCTGACGTAGGGTTCTCCAACCGTCTATCCCCCATAGATCTTAGTGCAGTCGTGCCTGGTTATGTAAATAGTCTCTGGTTTTACCAACTGGCAAAGTCAACCCGGTAGCCTATTCACTTCACACGATGGCGGTCTTGTGTGTGAAACGAATCGTTGTTCACTAATAAATCCACTAGTTATTCACCGAACCTCTCTAAAACGCTGAAATCTGGCAACGATAACAAGTTGAATGTGGACCAGGTCATGGGAGTAGACACGGCTGCAGACAGAGCGCAGGTGTTGTACGTACCCAACACCAAACAGAATGGGACAGTTTCACGCTCTTGACGTTCTGCTACTTCACAAGAAGTATTTCATCACTCTTTCTAGAAGTCATCAGTCTCCTTCGGAAATTCATCCCGACCACTATAAATCTCAGCCGAAGCGAGGAGTACCTCTGTCAGGGGGGCTCGGCAACTACTGCTTTACCACGTTTCGACCCGCTAGGAGAGCCCGCACTGTGCACCCTCAAGTACTGCCCAAAAAACGACGTCCTGGGTGCAACCCGACGATGTAATCCTGGCCCGCTGTTCCACCCATACTTGTCGATCCAGACGAGTTCCAACTTGGTGACCATCCCTGGAACCCTGAAAGAAGCCACTTCGATGTCTGCTATTATTATTCTTGTAAGACACTACAAAAAACTTTAACACACGCTCCAGGTTGAAAATTCCCGTTGAAAATGACAATGGGTACCATTTTTCTACCTAAAACTACTTACAAGATTAATGGAAACCTTTCGGCACCGGACTCCCGGTTTGTCCTCTCAGCTGAGTTTGTTGCACAAAGACAACCTTATGTCTCATTTGGGGAGGTATCCACAAAAGATGATAGCGCTAAACATGGTTCTACAACCATTCCCATTCTTTAGGTCACTACGCGTAACACATCTAATTAAAGACTGTTACAAACAAGAGAGTCACTTGCTTTGTAATGCGCTACTCATAAGGTTGCTGAAAATTTGTTGGCAGCCCCCGAACGGTTTCGCCCTTCTTGAAGCTCATCACGTAGGCGCAGTCCCTGAGTTTCCGTCTACCGTATGTTCTCACTGAGACCAAATTGCACGAAGTTAGCGAAATACACTCATTCACAAACAAATTTGGTTTTTCAAGAGATTCACCTGGAACCCAGCTGAATCTCTCGTTTGTGATGTTTTCAGGCAACTGAATGTGCTGCACCAGGCCGTCTCATGTCTCAATCGCTATGATATTCGAGATGTCGCGATACATGTATATTTGTAATGTACCACTCATAAGGTTGCTGAAAATTTGTTGGCAGCCCCCGAACGGTTTCGCCCTTCTTGAAGCTCATCACGTAGGCGCAGTCCCTGAGTTTCCGTCTACCGTATGTTCTCACTGAGACCAAATTGCACGAAGTTAGCGAAATACATACATTCACAAACAAATTTGGTTTTTCAAGAGATTCACCTGGAACCCAGCTGAGTCTCTCGTTTGTAATGTTTCCAGGTAACTGAATGTGCTGCACCTGAGTGGACTGAATGGACTGCGCCAACCTGATGAGCCCGAAGTGGAAGGGCGAAACCGGTCGTGGGCTGTCAAAGAGCTATCAGCAACCTTATGAGTAATGCAGTACAAAAATATATATGTATCGCGATATCTCGAATGTCGTAGCGACTGAAACCTGAGGCGGCCTGGTGCAGCACATTCAGTTGCCTTGAAACAGCACCAACGAGAGATTCAGCTTGGTTCCAGGTGAGTCTCTTGCAAAACCAAATTAGTTTGCAAATGGGTGTATTTCGCCAGAGTCAGTTGCTATTCAGTGAAGTTCCCCTTTGACACAAGATCCTATGATTTCACGGTAAATAAGTCAGTCTAACCAGCCTCTGTTTGAAACAAGGTTGTCATATGCACAACTGTTCAGTGTGCAGTCGGGTGAAGAACTTTTCGGACCGTGCTTTACAATGTTAGCCTGTTTTTTTCTGGACAACTTGCCAGCTAGTTAACAACGAATGTCGCAGTTGTACCTAGACTACATATCTTATGCGGCGACCAATCTATCTTGCACAGTTCTGGGTTGAACAAACGAAATTTGGGATACAACGAGGGAGGGATGTGATGGAAACTGTGGCCGAAAACCACTTTCTGACTTCCTATGACCATTCTTTTTGAATCAAACAATTGTGTTATCGTCGGCCAAAATACCGAAAGAAGTATGAGCTACCGGGAATCCGTTATGTGTAGCTGAATGCGTTTCGTTTCGGCGGCAAAACACGTCTGTTCATTTTGATTTTCATCTTTGAATTGCATCTCCTTAGTCCTATACACCGAAGATGGATGCTCCACACACCCTGCCTAGGAAAACTGACGACTGTCATAAAGGAAACTACTCACAAGGTTGCTGAAAACTCTTCGACAGCCCACGACCGGTTTCGCCCTGAAACATGAGTCGACCTGTGTGTAGCACATTTAGTTGCAGAATATTGTAAACGAGAGATTCAGTCGAGTCATTCGTGAAAACCAAATTGATTTGCAAATGAGTGTATTTCTCGATGACGACTGCCATTCTTAAATCCCTACGGGAAGCTCCCTGATTGGTTAATGAAATAGCCAATGGTAAGCCAGTATCCGTACCTTTTCCATGTTAGCTCGCCCTGGCATTTTCTGCACTAGCACGATGTGACTTTCGGTGTAATCTGACGACGATTCCCTGGTGGCTTAAGATGACAATCTTTCAACCTTGGTGCTAGTTTGAACATCACTTAGAAAGCTCTGGAACACATTCTATTTGGCCTTTGATTTCCTATCAAAATCCTTCCAGGATTCTTACCAAGCCATCTCAAAAATCTACCTAAAAATCTGATGAAAATGCCAGCATACCGAGTTTTTCTCCCCCTCAGAAGGTGAACGAAAAGTGAACCTCTGTTTTGGCTAAGATGTATTGAAAATATGTCTTTTGAATTGATTTGTTGTCGAATCCTTGCAAAATGCCTCTTCTGTGACTTTACAGTGCGTGTTCTTGGAGAAAAGACTAGACTGAGCACAAAGAACCCCTGAGAAAAACCTGATGGATGGGACCTAGAACACGCCATTTTCGTACAAATGACTTCTCCGTTAGGATATCCTGACATTTCAACGTTATCCTCAGTGTCCAGAGGACCCGTTCCTACACACCAGGTCAGTTTCTTTTGTCTGCCAATCTAACCAGTTAACTAAGCAACTAAATGATTGCATAACTTCATGGGTAACTATATAACTAGCTGGTGAACTAATTGCCTAAACAGCTGATTATCTATCTATCTATTTATCTAGCTAAATAATGTAATAAAGTTCTCACCTTCCAGTTTCTTTTGTCTGCCAATCTAACCAGTTAACTAAGCAACTAAATGATTGCATAACTTCATGGGTAACTATATAACTAGCTGGCGAACTAATTACCTAAACAGCTGATTATCTATCTATCTATTTATCTAGCTAAATAATGTAATAAAGTTCTCACCTTCGCTTGCCACTAGTTGATCCACGTGCGCATATTTCCGTTTCGGTGGTGTGATCTACTTCAGCAAACACAGAACTAAACCTTTTATGATTCGCATGTAACCTTGCTTATCAGTCTTGTTTAACAAGGTATCACGTAAAGTGGTAAGATGACCTCTGAACTAGTGTAGGACGTTGTTGCAGTTATCGATTTACACGGCAACCGAAGTAGTGCGAAGGTGGATAGTGCTCGACAGATCCGTGATGCAGATCTGTGGATGTTTAGAACAAGATATCGAATTTCTGAGTAAAGAAAAGACGCCGTCATTCGGGGGATTTGATCGAACTGCGCAGTGATATCTCGCCAGCTGTTCACGTCCAATCGGCTTCAGAGCTCACACAAATTTACTGAAAGGCTGCCTTTTCATTCAGTGGCAAATAACAGCATTAAGGTTGGATTATTTGGCGGTAGGTGGTTAAAGACAGAATTCGTAGCACGAAGAAAGCCACTCACAAGAGTGCTGGAAACCCTTCGACAGCCCAAGACTTGGGGCCAGTCAGCTAGGCGCTATGTCTCCGAGTCTCCCTTCAATCGAATTTGCGTTCTACGTGAACCCAAATTGCAAGAAATTCGGCAAATATATTCATTCGCATTCCAATCTGGTTTTCACTCGAGACTCAGCTGAATCTCTCGCTCGCACTGACCGCACCTACCTGAAAGGTGAAACCGATCGTGGGCTGTCAAAGAGTTATCAGTAACCTTGTGAGTAGTTTCGTTTAGGAAAACGCCCTACAGTATCTCGAATATCGTACCGACTGAAACATGAGGCGGCCTTTGTGCGGCGCATTCAGTTAAAGAATATCTCAAACGATCGATTCAGTGGAGGTTGCCGTGAATACCAAATTGAAATGCAAATGAGTGGAATTG